CCACAAAATATATGTTTAATTGGCTACGAAAAGGGCCACATGAAAAGAAAAGAAAAATACTGGGTAAAATTTCACCAATAGAAAATTAGGATTTAGAGGGATGGAGTGGAGTTACAGTCCCATGGGAACTGCTTTTGCAGTTCAGGATATATGGGTTTTGTATGTATGTACCTTCAGAAATTATTATTGCATTTATCTTACAACAGGGATTAAAACTGCATTTAAGTATATCACTAAATGTAACTCTTTGATAAACTCAACTTTTGGGGTGCCACTTTTAAATGTTACCTATAAATCAGTATTTGGGAAAATTTAACTTTCTTAACCTATTAATACAAGAAATAAAGTACGAAATACTAAACAAAAAAATGAAAGCATACATGGTATATGGATGTGGCAAACATTGTGAATATGGTATAGAAATGTCTGAAATATTCATTTAAGGCTCTCAGTAAACAAACTTTCCTAGCAAATGACAATTTATCTATCCTGGTTTTTATTTATTTATTTATTTTTTTGACAGGGTCTATGTCACCATCAGTAGAGTGCTGTAGCATCAGAACTCGCAGCAACCTCAAACTCTTGGGCTTACATGATTCTCTTGCTCAAAAAAAAAAAAAAATGCGAAGAAAAGAAAAGAAGAAAATACTTAGCTTGCAGTTAGAACTTTGCCCTTGGTTCTATTTAAAAAGAAAGGCACACCTCTCACCCAACCTGAATTTTACTTTGCAATGTTCTAGAAAGTAAAAATCTCCAGGGTGCCAGTAAAGGGACAATTTGAAATACTAGTGCTTCAATTAATGTTGCCTCCTTAAATTGGAAGCCCAGGTTAGGGCCTTGTGTCCTTCCTGTCTGTTAATGCCATGCATGTTAATAACACACACATGGCAATAGAGACATGTACTATAGTGGGGTGGCATAGCTGATTCCAGCTTTAGTTTAGTAAACTTGCCTTTTTTCTTATTATTATTGTTGAAGATACCATCCTTCCCAGCAGCCAGAAGGCGAGGGCAGAGAGCACAGGTGAGTAATACTGACAAAGGTAACAGCTTGCTTCATCCCAGCAACAAGTTTGTGACCGGCCTTCGTGGGTGACCGCTATGTCCACTTTAAATTTCCAATACTTGAGCTTTGGAAATCATGCAGGCAAGATTTGTAAGGACAGGACTCCACTGATCATTTC